ATCTTATTTAGGATGCAACCCCATGTCCATAACACAGCCTTCATGGTCCCCTGTGTTCTGCCTCTTACTATGCCACTGCCATCCCTTTGCTCACTGGGCTTCCCAGCACATTGGTCTTCAATTTGGTCTTCCCATATGTGACGAAAAACTTCCCATTTGCTGCTCACTCTGCCTAGGGTGCTGGTCTCTTCTCTTTACCTGGTACTGTCTAATCATCACAGAGGTCTCAGTTGAAATGTTAATTCCTCAGAGAAACTTTCCACTAACCTACCAAACAAAATCAGTTCCTCTTGCTGTCATCTTTCATCAAGCCCTTAATTGTATATCAGCGTATACTGATGTATTTATCAGTGCGATAGTTTCTTTAGCACCCACCTTCTCCCCTTTGTAAGTGTAAGTGTAAGTGTAAGTTTACTGTAGTCAGAAACCATGTTTATTTGGCTCATTGCTGGTCTCCTGTTCTGGTCTGGTTTCTGGCTCATAGTAGCTACTCAGTAAACTGTTGTGGTCTGAGCAAATGGCTAAATCACGTGGGTGTGTACATGGCTTCTTTTCTAAGCAGAGCTCTATGTTAAATTAGAAAATAATGTCAGAACCTATAGATTTATCTTCAATCCTTGGGAATATGGAGATAGAAATGGTTTTTTGATACTTGAAACAATTTAAGCAAATCTTGGAAAAGTATCAAGAGAGGAGTTTAAAAAAATAAAATGTTTTACCCAGAGAAATTGTGGAGTTTCCTTCCCTGGAGGTTTAATCAGAGCATAGTAATTAAATTTGAGGAACTTTAAGGTCTGTGTGAAGGCTGTGAGATATAGACAACATTATTTGGGAGAACAAATATTTGAAATTAATAAACCTTTTTTTTTTTTTTTGGTTTTTAAATTTCATTCTTTGTCAAAAGGCCTATCTTTGCTTGTGCTGGAATAGGGAAAGGGCTCTGGAATTCTACTCTTGATTCAGGATTTCTTTTTCTCCACCGTGATGTACAGTCAAGTCAACTCTGCTGTAACTGGACATATGTGTCCCTAAAGATCACGGCCCAGGGCTTGTGGGAAAAATGGAACCAGGGCAAAATACTCAAAAGCTGTCAGTGATGCAAAAAAAAAGATAGGAATCTAATAAAAATGGCAGCTAAGTTTTACATGTGTTAAATGATGAAGAAATACATAAATATACACTAAATATGGCACTTTACCCTGAGAAAGACACACAGCTTGCTTCCGGAAATGCTTATTGGCGGCTCGAGTGTTAGTGAAGCAGCTGAAGGAAGGCGGCGTGAAATCAGAGGGCAAGATGTACCATCAGCTGTGGACGGCGGTGGCTCACAACATGCACGGTGGACTGATGGCACTGGCTAGTCTCTCTGATGTCTGGATGGTTTGTATATTTCTACGCTAGGTTCAGCGAGATGCAGTTTTCTGTGTTCACTTCGTGTTTCTCGTGAATGAAATTGAGCATAAGCAAATGTGAGATTTGTGTTATGCTCAAATTGTCCCCTGATATGTCAACTGCATTGGAATAAATTCACAGTTTTGTAGTAAGTGTTACAGCAGAAATGACTGTAGTAGGGGAAAAAATGGGGATTTTAGGTTGGAAGAACTTGGTTCTGGTCCCAGGGCTGTCGTTTCTAACCTGGGCGAGCTCTTTTACTCTCTTGACCCCATTTTCTTTATCTTTAAATGGAATTGATAACAACCGACTTTGCTGAGTTGTTCTGAGGAATAGTTACAGCAGTGAAAGTGGGAACATGTAAAATGTAATGTGCTCTCCAAATTCAAGATTTTTCTCATGGAACTTAGTTATTTCAGAGTTAGAGACAGCAGCTGAAGAACACAAGTTTGAAAGTTCACTCATCTTGAGTCAGCTTTTGCTGAGAAAAGTATGCAATCCTGCCTTTTGAATGAGAGTAAAGCCTGAGTCTCTAAAGCAGGGGTCCCCAATGTCCAGGCCTCAGACTGGGTACCCAGTCAGTGGCAGGAGGTGAGCGGGTGGGCCAGGGAGCAAAGCATCTGTATTTGCAGCCACTCTCCAGAGCTAGCATCTCCGCCTCAGCTCAACTTCAGATCATCAGGCGTTAGATTCTCATAGGAGCACCTGTCTCTGTTGCCAAAAAGGGTGTGGACCACTGCACTAAAAGGAAGGAAGAGAATGTGGCTGGTAGTTTCCTGTGGACATGTGTTTAATGTCACTTCTTGGACTCAGCCCCAAGGCCAGTGTTTGTGTTCCTCTGGTGGTGATTTAGGTGTGATGGTAAGAAAAGCCAGGAAAGAGGTGATTTCATTAAATGAAACTGGGAGAAATACAATGTGGGACCCAGTGAGTTTTGAAAAACAGCCTTAGAACTCTCTTAAGATGGCTTCTTAAAGCCAGACTAGCTTAGCAGTTTGAAGGAGAATTGTTGCCACAGAAATTTTGTAAACTTATTTTTGTGACATTGTCTTTTACTTAACTGTTTTTCAGTACCTAGTGGCACTATGTAAATGATACCCAATCATTGTCCATCTCTTATTCTCTTTCAAACTCCCTGCTGTAAAAGATGCAGAGAAAACATGGAAGAAAACCAAAGTTACTTTGAGGATAAATCTGTTTACAACTAGGATATAGTTAATACAAACAAACAAACAAACAAACAAATAAATAAATAAATTGGCCAATCCATTGATACACTCTCTTGCTACTTTTAGCCATGTTTTATAATTTGGGTAAGAATTTTTTTGCCCATATTTTGAAAGTAAGTGTGGCTTTTTGTCAAACTTTAATAATTTAACTAAAACATACACTATTTAAAAAGAATATATTTTAGTAAACAGATTTTTTTTTCATTAGTCTTAGAATTCCCTAAAACTTTATATTGTAAGGGCATCATTTTATTCATATTTGAAAAAGCATTAACAAATTGAACAGAAAGATTATCCATATGGAAAACTTTTTTCCTTATTAGATGTTGGAGATTCTTTAATATAGCAGCGAGCGTATCTATGTAACATTCTTTACTTCTGAAAGAAGGAGAGATGCCATTTTTTCTGTAGAACTTCACCTCCTTCTAGGATGTGCTTTTGAACAATTTAGCATGCACCATTTTTATTGCCTATTTCTAAAATCAAAGCATGATCTTCCAAGTTCTATGATATAAATGACTTATTCATGTTTCTTTTAGTCCAGTGACTCTATACAGAGAATAATATTGATTATGTGTAATATTTGAGTAAAGATTTTCTACTTTAATCTATTTTTATTGTGGTAAAATAATGTAAATATAAAATTTGCAGTTTTAACTATTTCTACAGAGGTGTGACTTCAATTAGTATATTTCTCTTCCATAACCATGTTTTTCTTCCTTTTCAAAGCTACTGGAGAGTGACAGAATAAAGATTTGATGTGATTTTTCTTTTTCTGGTTCCAGTAGAAGGAATTGATTGTGGGGGGTTAAAAATGGACCATTGGAGCATTAAAGATGTAGACATTATAGCCCTGACTTAGAAAAAGGCCAGCTCCATAATCAATAAGCAAATATATTTTCCAAGACTACTGTTCATTGGGTAATACAAAGTATATATGCACATTAGACATAGTTTTAATATTAAGCAAGTGTTCATCTTCAATGGAGAATTATAATAAAGTCACATGAAAAACAATAATAGAAAATATAAGTAAGGACCTAAAGGAAAGTAAAGATGGTAGGTGCTATTGAAACCCAAGGAAGGGAAGGAACAATAAAGCGATAAGGAAAAAAATTCTAGAGGAAATGGCTTACAGCTGAGCCTGGAAGGAACCTTAGGCTTTGAATAGAAAGACTTCGGGGGACTTTTTAGGCAAAGGGAAGAGAATTGTCTAAGGAGCAAAGGCAGAAGGAGCAGATGCCCATATGTAAGTATTTTTCAGAGGACCTTGATTCATTTCCAGATTATGATCTAATGTTTCCTTCATGGTCCTCAAGAGAACTTTTTTCACATGAGTTAGAGCTGGAGAAAATTCATCTTTGCTGTCACTTCCTGTGAATATGCCCCATGCAATGGACCCTATTTCAATCTGGGTCCATAGTACAGAGTCAGAGTGTCTAATGAATTTGGAGACTGAGGGCTTTGCTTCTCTTCTTTTCCTTTAAGAGTTTAAGTCCTTCATAATCAGGCATTGAGGCTTTGGTTTTCAACATAGAATATATACCCTATATACAAAGTGCTTAATTTAGTAACAGCCATAACTATAATAGCATGGCATGCTAAAAAAAACATAATAATAACAACAACAAAACAAAATCAATAACAACATTAGCATGTCTGAGTCAGTAATGTCAGGAGGATCTGATCTTGTGTGCTTTTTTACCAGTTCTAAGAATGAGTTTTGCTGAACCATCTATTCTGGGTCGTCCTGTTCCTCTTTTAATCCCTGATGCCTATTTGTGAGATGAGCTAGTTTTCTGGGATTATAAATATATTGTGTGGTTTAATCTAGTTTTTTTCCTGTGAAAACCTAATTGGACAAAATAAAAACAAATTATTTAACCTTATTCTCATGAGCTCCATGTTCTAATTAACTTGAAGTTCTTGGTTCTTCTATAAAACATAGTAATGTTCTCTTTAAAGCGTATACCAGAGATTGAAGAGATGAAGTAATTCTGAACAGGCACTAATGATCTCAATCATAATTACTTGAATTATTATGCATTTGATAGTATTATTGAGCCATAGATCTTAATATATGCACAGTTTAGTGGAAATTATTTAAGCCTTAGAGTCAAATCAGCCAGGATTGAAAACCTGTTACCTTCTGGTTTTTATGACAAATTACTTAGGTGTCTGTGATCCTTGGTTTCCTTGTCTATAAGAGATTAATGATAGAACCTACTTCATGGGGTTGTAACAAGGATGAAATTAATTAATATACATACATAAAATCCAAGTTAGCACTCAGTAACTGACAGCTATTATTAATTATTTTTTTGTCATCATATTTAAGAAACACCTTCTTAAAAGCCATTTCCTTTGTGCCTTTTATAGCATGAGAAGCTGATACATGAATTGGAAGAGGAGAGACACTTACGTCTTCAGAGTGAGAAGCGGTTGCAGGAGGTAACATTGGAGTCAGAACGCAACAGAATTCAGATGCGTGGCCTGCAGCAGCAATTCTCCAGGTATTGTTATGACTAAGCTTCTTGCTTCAGAAGGCGCACCTCTTGCTGCACCAATAACACCTTTGCTTGAATTTGCGTTGTGCAAACTTCTATTGCATCTGACTAGCTAATTCCCAAGCGGTTTAAACCTTGTCTTCTGGCCAAGCCATCCTATTGCATTTAGACCAATTTTCTGAAACTTTTCATTTGCACCTTATAGAGTCTTGGCTTTATTGAACCTGGTTATCTTTTCTTCCTGGATGGCTTTCCAAGGGGTCTAATAGTAGGATGCGGTGGATTTGTGGCCTATTGGCATGTCCTGTGAAAGGCCAACTAGGGGGATGAAATTTCCCTGGTCATCATAATCTTATTTTAAGGTACAGAGAAAGTGTGGATCTAATCATCCAGTAAGCTGTTACTCATGACTCAGGGGAAACATTTAAGAGTAGTAAAAAAAAAAAAAAAAAATCAATGAGCCTCTTTCCTTTAGAAAGACATAACTTGAATTTGAAAGGAGGATTCTGAAAAAGTAGCTCTTCTTAGATTTAATTCCAGCTCTTTCAATTTTCAATTATAGTTAGTATAGTGCTAGGTAAAGATTCAACTTGTTATTTCAAATCTATTCAGTTCTTTGGAAAAAAACACTAACTTTTTCAATTATAGTCTTGGGACCAGATACAGCCACCGTATGATGGACAATTTACATTCATTTGTATATTTCACGTCACCATTTGCAAAATCAGCAAAATAATTGTTTTTTGTTTTTTGATTTTTCTCCCTCATGAGGTTCTCCTAGGCAGAATCAAGTTGAGATGCTGCCTTTAAATTTTTATGAGCAAACTATGTGGACCTTATCTTAAATTAACCATTGGGATTTGGATATGATCGGTAATGGATAATATAGCTTTCTCATTATGAGGCCTTTATAATGGTTTTTATGTTTTAGATGTTTGCAGGGAGAAACCACAGTTGAGCCTCCAGATAATTTATCTCATTGTGGCTAATTCCATGAATGCGTGCCAGACTGGTTTAGAGGCTTCTTGGAGAAACAGGATAGGAAAGGTGGATGATTCCTCTGTGTTCAGATTCATACTTTAATACCCTGTTCAACTCTTCAAGCTCATGATAATATAGAGGTGCTGTAGAAATGCACCAATCAATATTTTAACAAATGGGTGTCCCACCCCTCACAGGCTATTACTTTTACAACCTCATGCTCGATTTTTCATTCAGTTTGATGGCAATTTTCACCGAACAATTCCCAACTTGAAATAATAGATTCCTTACTCCTAAGCAACTTTAAAACAAGCATTTCTTTGTAATACTTGCCATTTTAATGATATAGGAAAAGAGGAGGCAGATCTTGCTACCCTTGCACTATCTAATTAAGACATCCCTGTATTCAAGCTATTGATTTACAGGGCATGAGGCACATGACACAGTAAATTATTTTTATACGAGGCGAGGTCATCTGCTATAAATCAAGTGACAATCCCATACAGATTTGAGTTGCACAAAAGCCAAATCTTCATTATAAACTGAAAGAGAAGTTAATTATATGTAAAACAAACAGTGGTTGGTTTTACATACTGCTTTGTGAAGATTTTTATGCCCTAGTATAATAAGTTTTCTTATGTAAAGCTTCATTGAAATTGAAAAGTTCAAGTCCAATTACAACCAGACAACTCATGTAAATGAGCAAAAGATGAGGAAAAAGCATATATAACAGATAATTACACAATAATTTAACTAGACCCGCTAATCCATTTGATTGCCTTCCACATTTTAAACTTTGATTTGTAAGATATTTCTAGTTATGCTTATTTAAACAATTCCATTACTATAATTTAAGTCTTGTGAAATTATCAGTATTACAGAATATGCCTATAGTGCATCACCCTTGGACATTGTCAGCATCTTAATGCTCACATAAATAATTTCTATAATCTAAATTATTGTATTGAGTTAAAAACTTAGTTTCATGATTCCCCCCCTTTCTGGGGGGTTGATGCTTATTTTCTTCGTGATAATATCTGAGATGTGGACTTTGAGATGTAGACTCCTTTGAATACTGTTCATGAGATGAGGTTATTTTCAAAATCATGCTAATAACTTACCTTTTCAAAGGCTGTGAGAGGCTCAGAATAAAAGGTAGTTTTATAATAAGGCTGATAAAATAAAAGCAGAAAATAAAGACCATGAAAGGAGAATGTCACATTAACCATTCTTACATAGCCCAACATATTTTCTGAGAATAAGCATTTAACTTAGCTCTAAGATTCCTGGCAGACAAGATAAAAAGAGAGACACAAGAGGATATGCCACTCTTAACCCACAGGCAAAGTCTGCTACTCATTAAAGAGAAAAACATCTCTGGTAATAAATTCATAATAGAAGGCATCACAGAAGGTCCTTTATAAACGATATTGAAGGATATTACCGACAATGGTCCAAGATGGTGCAAATTAGTGTTAATTCTTAGAGATGGTACTACTTCTGCTGTCACTTATATCTACAAAGTTGAGTAGCTTCTGAGTTTTCACAGTACATGAATTAAAAATGCTCAATTCGTGCCTAAGTGATAACAATGAAAATAAGGAAAAAACCCAGTCCTCAAGGTTCTCAAGTCAAGCACTATATTGCAAGTTCATGGGAAAATCTAACTAGATACATGTTGTATCTTTTTAATACCCCTTTATGAAGCATGAAGGCATGAGATGCTGAAGCCTGAGCTGAGTTAGGTGAACTATTTTCCTATTTTCCTGAGTTAGGTGAACTATTTCTGTTTGATGGCACTGTAGCCATGGGAATATCTCAACAGTCATTAAGGAGATTCTGAGTCTCAGATTCAGGGATAGGAAGTATTGGAGGGGAAGTGAATAATTAAGTAACTAGCTGGAACAATTAAGTGTGTGTCAATTAGAATTCAGGTGTCAGAACGAGCTATTCAAAAGAATTAGTCCAAGGCTTGATTTTATGCGGTTTCAGCTAGATAATGGTCCTGGTGGCTTAAAGGTACCAGACAAACCTGAACGTTTCTGATAATCTGTGGGAATGAATAATGAGGTCATTTAGGTGATAAAAATCTACAAAAACATTTGAATGAGTAGTTCTCTTTTATGTTACCACCAAACCTTCATCCATAATCCCTTATTCCTTCTCAACCTCTGATTATGGTATAATAATCAGCAGTGGTCCAAAATTTGGGCAATTTAAAAAAAGATAAACTAGAGGTTACATAATCAGCTGTAAGCTCATAAATCAAAAATTACCTGCAGTGAGGACGATTCAGACAGCCATCACAAACTTGATTCAGACCATTTACATTCTTTAATGTAAATACGAAGAATGAAAAAGGTACTTTCAAGTTAAACATTCCCCATAGATGAAGGAACATTTCAATAAGGCGATGCTTAGAGGCAGGTTGTGATATTATTAGGGCTGCCCCTTCTCTGTTTTATTTGTTGATATAAATCAAAGATGCTTCCCAGATGTCAAGGCTTGTTTAACCCATTGCCTGTGTGATATATATGGCTGGGCATCTTTTCCATGGGATTAGCTTTGTGACACCCTGTAATTCCACTGTCGTCACTCTCTCTTTAACTGTTTGAACTGTGATTGTTCAGCCAGCCAAGATTAATGATGTAGACTGAAGCGATAGCACTGCATTCCTCCTATATAAAGATAATTAGTGTTTGCACCCCCAGCCTCATTAGTCTATCTTGAGTGAAAGAAGTGTTTTTGCATCAGTTAGATTCACCTGGAGAAGCACCTGGAACACTGTCTCCAATGAGGCAGGGTATGTTCAGGTGGAATAACAATGATTAAAAAAAAAAAAAAAGACTTATGAAGAAATAAGCAACTCTACAGAATACTGATTTCATGCAAACTATGCATGATTTGCAGATGTATTGGAGTTGGTCCTTTTGGAATCAATCTAATCAACGCGTAGTTTATTACTGAAAGCTGCTGTTCTTATCAATCAACCATTTTGATTGTGTGTACAATAAGATAGAACACACCATGTGTTCTCAAAAAATGTACAACCCAGATAGAGAAGCCTTATGTATATGTATGAACAAAGCAACACATTTATAGCTTAGCTATAAATGAAGGGAAATTTTGTTCCAATTTAGAACAACCAGACTTCATACTTGTAGTGGGCATGTTATCATGCAAAGGGCATGAATCAAGCCAGATGAAATTAATAATTGTGTAGTAGTACTAGCAAGAATAATTCATGTATTTATTGTGTGACAGCTCTATGCTGCAATATGTTTGAAGCTTTAAATAATAATCAACCTGGTAGACCCACCACCAGGCAGCATATTTTGTAAACTATTGACAGCAAATCACATCATACCCAAAGCATCATGAGGAATCAATTAGTGTTTCTTCGTAGCTTTGAAATGTTCCACACACACGTGTGTGTGTGTGTGTGTGTGTGTGAGAGAGAGAGAGAGAGAGAGAGAGAGAGTGTTAGCACTACGCAGTGTAAATTTAAGTAAAGGGAACAATTAATCTTTATCACCCATAATTGACTAGGATAGTTGAAAATTGCCCAAATGGAGCCCAAGCTTTCACTCTTTACCTCCAGGATTTCTCTGCACCTATTCTGACCTTCTCTCTTTGCTCTGTTATCTGCTGCCTTGAAGCTATTTTTTTGCTGACTGCAACAGGGATTTCTCATATCAGAGTTGATCGCTATGCTTAAGTGCAAGTCTGCTGTATGCTGAACTTCAAGGAGATGGAAATGAAGATAGTTTTATTGCTTAACTTGTTCACTGATCGCCATTCACATTATCAGCTCTCAGAAACATTGTGGAATCTAGGATTCATTTTCTGCTGCCCATTTGGAAGCAGTAAGCACCTGGTATAGAAGTGTGTGTTGAAGAGGGTAATATAATCTTAAATGTTCTACCCATGTATTCCCTCCTGCCCCTGTATCTGTCTAGTACATTAAAAGAACATTTTCTCTACATCTTTAGAAGGAGTAAAACATAACGAGATAAGAAAAGCTA